TCCTTTCATATGCTTTTCTTTTTAACTGAACAAATGGTTTTTCACTCTAAATTTTTTACCCAAATTTTGGAGGTATCAGAATTCTGTTATATTCTATCTACTTATTAGGAGAAATCAATACTGGGAAGCCGCAATTCAAGGTCGCTGATAGGAGCTGCACTTACCCGTTCCATTCGGAGCATGTGTGGGTCGAAATACGTGGTATTTTGGGAGAGCCATTTTATCCAAAATCTATATCACGCTTTCGGTAGTGTGCCAATCATTATAAAAGTTCCTCACTCCAATGTTCGTTACTTGCCGTGTTTGTTTAGCGATTTTGGCACGCTAGGAGTATTTTGGTTTTACATTTTTCTAGTTGGCACGTGTTTCGAGGAGGACTGGCTTCACGATACTACTATCATGCCAGAAGAAAACGGCAATCTGACGACTGCTAAGGATGGGGTAACTGTCTTTTCTTCTTATTACCTCTCAAATGAAAGGAATTATTTCGTTACAGCTTTAGTAAAACAAGTTTCAGAAAAATGCCCAAAAAAGGATCAACGGAACTGAACGCGATACGGATGAACAGAAGACAAGGTTTTTGGTAATTCTTACGTGAGACATAAAAATAAACAAGTTTTTATCAATAAACCCTTTTCAGAAATAATGATTGTAGCTCCGAACCCAGGGGATTGTGGATGCCACAGGTAAGTACTACCTACAGAGTGGAAGAAAAAACCTGGAACAAGACCAAAAAAAAATTTGACATTTTCAACCGTTTTACTTGTTTTTTTTTTCTCCTCTGAATCCATGGCAGTAGGAACAGGGTTTGAAAAAAGAATTCCATAGCATAACCATCCTACTATATATAATCCGCTAAGTTTGTCTGTCTGTGTCTGTGTGTGCTGTATGTGTGTGTGTGGATGGGATGTGTTTGAACGGAAATTATAACTTCCTTCGAATTACCCCAAAAGGGTTCACATTGGTAAGTGATATAACGGGTGAACGTGAACATCATTGGTGGGTAGCAGGAGGTGATAACAGCTGACGAACGAATATAGATGGGGAAGGGCAGACAGTGTTAATAGCTGATAAGATACCACAGGGACCACTCAAGAAAGGAATTCCCTGAAACGTTTAGCTTAAGTTGTAGCCACAGTGTTAGAGCTTCAGCAGTTGGGGTCGGTTAGAGATCATTTGATGGTCGGGAACTAGGTTGTTGTTATAGTCTGATAAAGTGCTTATAAGCATGGGTCAAGATGTTCATGGTGTTTATGTCCTAGCGATACAGCTGAAACGGCGACCGCTAAACTCTCGAGTTTTGACAGAAAGTAAAACCGTAAAGATGTTTTCCAATAGTATAGAGCACTCACGTCGGAAACTGCTTTACCATTGCAATACCATCGGATACTGTATCCATTCGAAATTCTTTGAGCCGCAAAGCTGCCCATTTCCAACGAATGATGGGTGTTTCAAGAAGTGCGATAAGCACGACGGGTCAGCACAGATGTCCGCCAGTGACCAGTAGCAGAGGTTTGCCATGCGCGGAGTAGTGCGCGTCAGCCAAACTGGTATAAATAAATTTGAGAGAGGGAAGGTGGTGTAGAGGTAAGCGGCACCACCTACCAGATGCGACCTTCCAACTGAGCGCCACCGCACTTTTCACCGCTTTAACTAGCTAGCTAACTTCCACCAGGCTTTTCTGAGGAGCGCCACACTGAAATCGTGAAAGCGAATTGACCCTCAGGCTACGTAATGAGCAACACGATTCAAAATGAAATGTAATGCGAGCGTTGATAGCATAAAAAATGGACGGTGCAATCAGCCTAAAAAAGCACTGTTTTTTTTGGTTTTTTTTTAATGTTTTTTCCGCACAGTGGAGTTTCGAATCTTCTAGCGGATGGTATTGTCGCGACGCGGTTACCCTATTGCGGTGGTTCTTATGGGGAGTGCGCGCCGCATTGGGTCCTGTGTCAAGGGGCGGGGGGGGATTCGCTGTAACATTTTGCCACGCGGCAACGCTTGCGGTCCTCATCCCCTTGGTCTCGATGTCTTCTGCGCCCACTTGTAGTTCCCTAAGAGACCTGCTAGTCCTAAATTTCAGAGGGCGATAAAGCGTTTTCCTTCATATGAATCAACTGCGGGCAAATCTCGGGGAGGCCAATGAGGTAAAGGATAGGGAATTGTCAATCGGGTGCAACGAAACTACACATAGATGCAAAGAGCAATACTTGGTCAAGGTTAAAAAACTATCTTGAACACGTGAAATGAAGGAATAAGAACCTACGTGCCGGCTCCCTGCGTTAAGGCGGAAAGACTAACCGTAAGCACTGAAATATTCACCTCACCTGTAATCACCTGTGCTCCCGTTGATCATCGAGTTCCTCGAGCGGGCGCCAGTAACGTCTCCATTCGTCCCTGCAACGTGCAAGAGTTGCCCAATGAACTCTCTCAGCTCGAGGGACACGATGAACTTCATACCATTCGTTCAGAGCTTTCACGAAGAAGTCTGACCATCGCGTAGGCGGTCTTCCAGGCGTTCGCTTGACATCCCGTGGAATCCAGTCAGGTGATTTGGCTCTGGGTCTAAGCGCGTCTGTCTCGAAACGCACATGACGTGTTCCGCGCCCACCTGATCTTCGAAACCTTGGCAAATGCGGCGGCGTCTCTGATCTTCGATCGTTGGCGGAGTGCGGAGCTCCGGATTCCCTCTCTCACTTGCGTGTAGCGGGAAACTCCGAGCATCGCCCTTTCGATGGCGCGTTGAATAACACCGACCGCATGCTCATCCTGCTTTCGTAGAGTCCAAGTCTCTGAGGCGTACGTCAAGGCAGGAAGGACCGCGGAATCGAAGAGGTGGGCACGGAGCTTGGTGTTCTTCGTCTTCTTCGCTACTCCCTCGATGTTCTTGAAGGCTCCCCAAGCCGCTCGCTTCCTCCTGCTCAGCTCTGGAGCTAGGTCATTCATCATATTGATTTCACGACCTAGGTACACATAGCTAGAGCATTCAGAGATGGTCGTTCCGTTGAGCGTGAATGGGGGGCATCAGATACAATCCGTTTCTCATGAACATCGTCTTCGTTAGGTTCAGCGTAGGAGCGGGGGGGGGGCGGGGGGGGGGGGGGGCGGGTCCGATTCTTCCACACGCGCAGTCGAATTCAGCCAGCATTCGTTCCGCTTGCTCGATGTTTGGCGTTATCAAAACGATGTCGCGTCAGCAAAGCGGAGATGGTGTAGTTGCCGACCGTCGATCTTCACTCCCATGTCTTCCCATTCCAGTTGACGCATGACGTTCTCGAGAGAGGCGCTGAAGAGCTTGGGCGAGATGGTGTCGCCCTGTCGGACCCCTCTCTTCACATCAATGATGATCTCCTTGTAGAATGGTGAAATCTTGGTCGTGAAGTTGCTGTAGAGCTCACGAAGAATCCTGATGTACTGAGTAGGAATACCCTGGTTGCCCAGGGCTTCGATAACCCTCCTTCATGTCTTCAACGGGAGTCGAAGGCCTTCTTCAAGTCGATAAACGTGAGACATAACGGCATCTTGTACTCTCGCGATACTTCAATGAGCTTCGTTACCGTGTGGATGTGATCGATCGTGCTGAATCCTTCGAAACCCTGCTTGCTCGCATGGCTGTCCTTCGTCTAGTGTTCTGCCAATCCTGTTCAGGATGACTCGTGTGAAAAGTTTGTAGACTACAGACAGCAGGCAGATGGGGGCGATAATGCAATGTTCGTACAGGTCTCCTCTTGTACAGACACCATCAGTCTTGCTGGTTTTCCACGAGGTGGTACCTTGCATTCCGACAGGTAGCGCGTGAAGAGTCGAGCCAGAGTTTTGACAAGAACTGGCGGAAGATTCTTCAGATATTCCGGTCTGATCCTGTCGGACCCGGTCCGTTACGCGATTCTTCACTCGACGAAGCACTGGAATGATTAGAGAAAGGTAGCAGCAAATTTTTGATCCTTTCCTGTCTTCAGAGCCTTTCGTAATAGCTTCTGCTTCTTCATGTTTATCATAATCCAGTTGTATCATTCTCGTACATGGGTTCTACCTTGCCGTGGTGTACGAGCTTGAAGCGGGATCGGGATACCCTTCAGGGTGGGGTTACGCCGAAGCCCCTTACTGATTCCCGTGACTAAAGAACCCAAGTGCCGAAGCTCTTGGTGGGACGGCGCTCTCCCTGAATGACAGGAATGCACTGCCGAGGCCGTCCTGTGGGACAAATAATAGTGCAACCACTTCTTGCATCTGCCTTAGTCCAGCTTTGCAGGGTGTTCTCTTGACTGGTCGGCGCGGCTGATTGAGCATCACAAAGTTGAAAGGATCAGAATCTCGGACAAGCTCAATGAGAGACGGATAAGAGCGAGTACACCTGCACCGGGCCTTGCCACACGCAACTGTCCGAGCAGTGGTCGCCTCAACTTTTAGTGCTTATTGATGAGCTCGACATCGAATGTGGTCAGTTAAATTGGAACTAGCGAGGCGAGGAATTCTCTCCTGCGTAAAGCTTTTTGACCATTTTCTGTCTTTCCACTTTACCTACTAGAACTAACTCTGAAATGACCAGGCTGACTTCATACTCTGCGACAAAGAGTTAAGGGCTTCTTGTCAGCCGGACATGCTCTCGCTACGAGGGTAGAAGTATTCTCTCATGGCATCTACTAGCCCAGCAATCGAAGGGAGAAATCAAAGGAGGAGGAAAGAGAGAAGGAAGGAAGGAAAGTGAGGAAGGAGAAAGAAAAAGGAGGGAGAAGGGAAGCTCCGCGGTTGGTAAGTGTCCTGAGACGGTCTGGACGTGCTCAGTTTTGGCTGCCGGCTCATTTATGAAGTGCCTAGATCACCAAATTCGCTGAAAACTTGCATGCAGGACTCATTTAACATCCTGATTACGAATATGACATTCATTCTTGGCGCTGGAAAGCTAAAGGATTAAAGGGCTAAAGGATTACACTATTGTCCTGTGGGCTCAGCCTTAGCAGAGGGCAGATAATCGTAGTGTTTAGCGCCAGCGCCAAGAATGAATGTCATATTCGTAATCAGGATGTTAAATCATCCCTGAAATTGTTTCTCATCTATGCTACTAACACAATTTTTAGTTGCAGCCTGACTCACAGTTCAATTTCTAACCAAAGAAAGCCTGATGCTAAGTGCTTTTCCAACTTTATTTCGTCACTCTTACCTCACAGACAAGCGTTCTGGATAGAATGAATTGGTCTGCGTTCATACTTTGCGTCAGTGTACGCCACGTTTCGGGCGACCACGAATGTACAGATATCGACCTATACGCCGCATATGCCAGCGTTTTCGTGAGCAGTTTTGCTCGAGCTGATTTTCCCGCGAAAACGCTAAGGCCACTTTCATACATAATACAGAAATACCGACCGCGGAATGTGCAGACCTGCGGAATCGGGAGAACCGCGGAACTTGCAGAAGAAGAAAATATGTCTATCGATTTCAAAAACCGCGGAATTTGCAGAAATGCAGAAGTGCGGAATGTGCAGAAATGCCAGAAATTCCACTGGTGAGGCTAAGCGATCGATCCTTACTTTCTTTGTCCATCATCTGCATTTCTCAAATTCCGCAGAATTGAGAGAAACGCGGTTTTTCAAATCGATACGTATACATTTCCTGTCTGCAATTTCGTCACTTTGCAACATCGTCATGTATGAACGCGGCTTAACACGTCGACATACGCTAGATCGATACTCTACTTTCCTAGTCGCTCGAAACGCTGATGTAAAGTATGAACGCAATTTTACAATGGCTTCCTGTAAATGGGGTAATGAACCACCCAAGTTTTATTGAAATTTTTCTTTAAATTTTTTTCTCTGATTTCAAACTGTATCAGTAGGTCGCGTTCATAGCTCGACCGTGAAGGAATGCAGAAATGCGGAATTGAAGAAATGTGGAATCTGCAGGAATGACGAAAAAGCATTCGGGACGTATCGATTTGGAGAAATGAAGAAACGTAGAATGCGGACTTTGCAGAAATTTTCGAGTCGTATCTAATGCTTTTCGTCATTTCTGCAGATTCCGCATTTCTTCACTGTCGCAAGCACTGAACGCGGCCTGACGCAGCAGGGGCTTCGAACTTAAAAGATTCCATTTTGACTAGTTTCTCACCAACCTAGTATATACAAAAATCTCTGCTCAATATTTTCAGACGGTATGTAACGAACTTTTACTTTAACGTTTCAGACGGTACTATAAACGACTGAAAATTCAAGGGCAACGAAAATGAAGAATTCTCTATGCTAAAGCTCGGTTTCAAGTTGAGAACTTGCTTTCACTATTGTTTCTAATATTTCCTGAAGATTGAGAAATATTCACATTTTTAAACTGGAAGCAAGAGCAGGCAAAAACAACAAAAAGTGTTTGTTTAGCTGCAGTTTAATCGTTGAACGTGAACACAATCATTCAAATGTCTTTTTAACTCATAACACGGCCTTTCGACTGAACATTCATTTCCGGAGGGAAAGAGCTATTTTAGCAAGAAGTGGCAATGTGGGGCAAAAGGGCTTGTGATGAGAGATTCAGAGGGTTAGGCTTCTAGTTAAGCTTTGAATGGGAAAAGAAGCTTGCATTCTGCATGAATCCTGTTTGGCGAGAGTATTAAATAACATGGTAGTCTAGTCTGGGTCCCCTTCTGTAAACAAAACTAATCACTAGGAATTTTTGAACGAAGAAGGGAAGAAAGACTGGCGAAGAAGTAAAGGAAAAGAAACCCGCACAAAAAAGAAAAAGACAAAATCATCGGCAGCTCAGGATCGCATCTATTCCTCGGAGGGTACTGCGACGTAAAATAAAATGTACTATTGCCGGCTGCACACATCACGCGCAATCTCACACGCCACACACAGATTGCTGCCAGGGCATGTCGTGGTCAGGGCACATCATTGGTTGGGGAATCCCCAATAGGGGGTCGTATTTGGTCGCCAGGAGGGGGGTCGTATTTGGGCTGAAAAAAATTTATTTTGACAGTTGATTTTTCTTGCTTCATGGACGTTGTAAAGGGAGGGGGTCGTATTTGATCATGGGGGGTCGTATTTACTTTGTGGCCTTCTAGGAGTGGTTGGGGGTTTTTGGTGATTTTCCTGTTTCATGCGTACTATATAGCCCCCCCCCCCGCTCGACAGCAAAATTTTTGGTAAAAAGTAAGGAAGTTTTCGGGAAATTTTGGAAAAAAGGGCAGGAAGTTGGGGAAAATCTGATTGTAGAGGGGGGGTCGTATTGTCTCGCGGCTTTTCCTGTTTCACATGTGCTATTTACCCCCCCCTAAGGACAGAGGGCTGGGAGGTCGTACCAACTCCCAAAAAAGGGCGGGGGGGGGTCGTACAGGCTCGAACAAAATCCCCAACTAATGCTGTGCCCTGGTCGTGGTTGGGGAATACCGCAACAGGGGGGGGGTCGTATTTGGCCGCCAGAAGAGGGGGAGTCGTATTTAGGCTGAGAAAAAGTTATCTTGATAGTTGATTTTTCCCATACCCAACCAATGATGTGTTCCACTCCCGCGAAACTCAGCGTTTCGAGCTTAGTGGCTTTTCAGGTGTAGCTTTTCAGTTTCGAGTTTTGGTGTTAAGGGTTTGATCACCCGAGGGATATGCTAGTTCCGGTGCTGTGCAGATGAATAAACTGTGTCTGTGCGAATATTGTCTCATTACATCTCAAAGTAACACGAACAGTTGGGTAGAGGTAGTTGATAGCATCTATTCCTTGGGGCCGTATGCTATGCTTGCCCCTGACAAGGGAACCCCAACACGTCGATACGGCCATTCGCTATGAGAGGTATGTAGATGGAGTTGAATTCAAATCTTCCCTCGGGATCTGCGGAACGGTTCTTTGAAGGGGATTACGGACCATCCAATCTCTGCTGTGTTCGCATAAGTGGGGAACGATAACCGACCAGGGTACAGCATCGTTGTGTGAAACACATGTGGGGGTGGGGTTGTATGTGGTCGTTGGTGAGGGGGGGGTTGTATTTGGTCGTTGGAGAGAGTGGGGGGTCGTATGTGGCTTTGAGAGAAATTTGCGCGTTGGGAAAAAATTTCCCGGTTGTTGACTTTTCGCGTGATTTTTCCTGTTTCATGTGTACTATATACTCCTCTCTCCGCTCACGGAAAACCTCTGGGTGGAAAAACTGGAAAATATGGGGGTGGGAATTGGTAGGTAGGTGTTGGTTGGGGAAGGGGATCGTACCAACACCCTCTTTTTTTTGGGGGCGGGGAGGGTCGTGTTAGTTAGACAGAAGTGTTTTGTTTTGGGACTTATTAGATTGGCGGGAAAGTTCTGTCACATTTTTTCAAACTAGGCTTTCTTTTTATAGAGAGGCGTAATATCAAAATTGTACAGCAATGTTACTGCGGGGTCCTTGCCAGTTTTTGAGCAGTGCAAGGGGAGAGGAATCAAGCTACACCAGTGCTCGTGGATGCCGTCCGCTTCAGCAAGCAGGGAGGGCGCGGCGCAAAGTTGGACATCACCTCAATCGTGACTTGATCTTCGCGTTATGGAAGTTCTCTCGTCCACATAACGATTGTGTACGGGAGACAACCAGTAGAAAGAGCAATGTCTGTTCTACACCAGTGCAAGAGGAGAGGAATCAAGCTCCATTGCATGAGGTACGGCTCGAACTTTCTAGGACGGAGTGCGCTGCACTATCATGATGAGGGCGGGCGTGCGGACAAATTTTTCCCTCTGATCGACATTTCGCTCCAGGTTCGTAACTGCTTTGCACCTTTGCACACAGGTTGAACGAGGAAGCATCAATTTTCAGATTTTCTCCAACTTCCTGCCCTTTTTTTCCAAAATTTCCCGAAAATTTCCTTACTTTTTACAAAAATTTCGCTGTCGAGCGGGGGGGGGGGGGGGGGGGGGGGGGGGGGGTATATACTCAAGACATAACAGGAAAAATTCACCAAAACTAACTCAACACCCAACCACTCCTAGAAGGCCAGCAAAGTAAATCGCGACGCCCCCCCCATGATCTAAAGTACGACCGCCCTCCCTGAAGCAAGAAAAATCAACTGTCAAAATAAACTTCTTTTCAGCTCGAATACGACCCCCTCCTGGATACCGAATACGACCCCCTATTGGGGATTCCCCAACCAGTGATGTGCCCTGACCACGACATGCCCTGGCAGCAATCTGTGTGTGGCGCGTGAGATTGCGCGTGATGTGTGCAGCCGGCAATAGTACATTTTATTTTACGTCGCAGTACCCTCCGAGGAATAGATGCGATCGCAGCTCCAGAGATCGACGCTGACATTCGTCTGCATTCCTGGGTGTACGTGTATACCGATAAAGCCGTAGAGTATTCTCACAGCACACACCGAGCTAATGCCGGGATGCCGTAAGCACCAAATCCACTAAAAACTTGTATGTAGGGGTAATTCAACATCCTGATTACGAATATGACATTCTCACTACTGTCGCTTTCGCCAAGAGAGGATACTACGATTACCTCCTGGGCTCAGCCTTAGCAGAGCGCAGGTAACCGTAGTGTCATCCATTAGCGCCAGCGCCAAAAATGAATGTCATATTCGTGATCAGGATGTTGAATTACCCCTATATACAAATTTTAGGCGATTGGTGACATCTATTGCCAACTTTTTAAAATGAGCTTCGAGGGCCGAAATCTAGAGTCCAACGGCATTTAGCTCACACACGGCAGTGGAATTTCCACGGAATCAAAAGGCGGATTTCCTGCATGAGAAACTTGTTCCCTTAAGAGTCCACGGAGACGAAAAGTATACGGGGACTGAGAACAGTCACAAATATAGTGTCGACAAGTATTTACCACATTAAAGAGACTGGCTAAAGCCGGGATAAATAAACGCAAAGGGACGTCTCTCGAGTGTGACTGTTATTATGGAGAGCGCATCCGATTTCCCGGCATGGAGGGACGACTTTTCTATATTCGCCGTACTTTCTCGATAAGTGTTGATGGAGATCAGTCGTTGAGCAGATTCAGCCACATACAGTAATTGAGAAACATTCAGCCGAATCAATTTTGCAAAGGAGGCGACGACAGTCTTCCGAAAGCCTGGCTAATCAGCGTGTGAAGTAGAAAATTTTAAATTTTTTCCCCGCCCCGGGAACATCACCGTTGGGATTCGCCGATAAGAGGGTTATGTTTGGTCGCTGTGGGAATGGAGGTCGTATTTGATCTTGGTCTATCTTCGGCACCGTTTACTTGGGGAGCACACCCACCCACAGAGGACTGTGAACGAGCTCCCATTACTTTGCACGTGCTCTGCAAATGTTGCTCCATGCCCATTCCTTGGGTTGCTTTGGATGCGTTTTCAGGAATTTTAGTCCACACCGTCCACTTCGGCGCACGCCCGCCCCGCCCATTTGGGGCAGAGCTGGGGTTATCTTGTGTGTGTGTCTCTGGGACTGTTGACACATGCCCATCCTTCGCAATCATGATCCGTTTGCCTAGCATGATTTTACGTAGCCAATTTTAATTTTAGCTTAACTTAGATGCGGGCTGAATCTAGACAGCATGAAAACAATACAGCATTGAAATGGGAGAAATATTGTGTCAGACGATCCCCTCCCCCTCCAATTTTATTCCTCCGGTACGGACTGCCTCCCCGTTCTAGCTATCATCTTCCTAGGTTTTCCGTCTTCTTACTTCTTCTTACCACTTATCATTTTTCCGAAACTTTCTCCAGTTTCTCCAGCTGACTAGGTGAGGCTAAGCCGCATTCAGTGCTGACGTCTGTGCTCCGTCTTCTATGGCTAAGCCCGTTGGAATACACTATTATCGGTGGGGAGGAGCTGATGCGCATCTTGGTCGGCAGCAGCATGGCCCTACCTACACCAGATGAGGGCATTTAAAGACACATGGTACGCTCATACACATTGAGGGTGTATGAGACTATCAGCCCCCCAGATGTCGATGTGTCGTGGTCCCCCCGCCCAAACATGCCCAGGAATGGAGATACAGGGCCGTGAAACACGCTAATTCTTCCATGCTCCGCCCACTGCCTTTTTACGGCGCAGATTCCCGCCGTTCATAACATCCGTTGCAAGCGCGCCTGTCGCGTGCGGCTCCTTGGCACTTTGCCAAGTCCTTTAATTGCGCTCTCAAATACGAGTAAAACGCAATTTCCTTGATGCGGACAACACTGGAGGTGCTGCAAAATAAGAGCAGAAGATGATGACAAGGGCAGAACTCAAGAGCAACTCGGCTGCATCTGCAGTATCCA